AACACACATGGTGGTTACACATAATTCCTATGATCTTCTAAAAACTCATAAGAACACAAATTCATGTCAAGCAATTTCAAGAAATCATATAAACATATATAATACTTTGAAATTGTTAAAAGTCATGTAAAATGGATTAACATAATCATTATCATTTTGAAAAACAGATTTTACAAGTCCAAAACAGATTGGGATAATGATTCTAATCCATTTCCAGCAACAAAACCTCGAAAAATCTGCCCAGCTTGATCCTACTCGCTGAGTGCATTATCCTACTCAACGAGTAGGATGAATTTGTTTGTAGACTCAACGATTCCTCCCCATGGACTCGGCGAGTACAGTCGTCAGAATGCATAATTTTCGATTTTCAAGCAGTTTTGCATCAAGTATACAGAAAACAGTCCTAGTCTCTGATACCACTGTTGGGTTTTAAGCATTCTAACACTTCCTAAGTGTACATGCAACCCTAATAACCTTGAATCTATGTTTTCTCTATATACATGCAAATTTATTTTCCAAGATTATTTCCTAACTAGCGTGGTATGGGGATTACATAAAACATAAAAACTAGTAGAAATACATACCTTGTTGTTGCTTGGATTCCTTCAAGACTTTGTGAGCCTAGCACCCCAAATGTTGTGCCTCAAATGCTTCACACAACACTACAACCTTGGAATAACTAGAGAGAATACCTCTACACTTCAAAATCGGCTATGCCCTCACAAGAATACACTAGTGCCAATTTTGCATGCTATAGGGTTTCTTTTATAGTGTGTTATAATTAGGAGTTACAAATGTAAACCCTAATTGTCATGACTCTTCATTTCTCATGACCCATAGGTTTGTAACTCCCATGGACTATCCATGGAGCTCCATATGGTTATAACCAAACCCATAAACCATGGATCATTAATCCACCATAAAAGAATTGATGATTGTCATAATCAACCCTGTATATTTAATTAGTCTCACTTTGATCACCAAATTAATACTAGATTAATACTTGATCAATACTAATTAAATAATACTATTATCAATATATTAGAACTTATAATATATTAATAATCACAAGTGTACTTTCTCTCATTTTGTCTATCCAAGTATTGCAATGCCATGCAACCCAAATGGACCATGCCGGGTCGGGTCAAGTACATACCAAATAAAGTTCTGGACTTAGACACTATATCCAACACTTCATACTCCAAGACCCTTGGCAAGCTTTGATTAAGTGTTTTTAGCCTTTGATGCCCTGCGTGCACGTAAAGTGTGCAACTTTACGTGGTAACTACATCATAAGGGGTTGGATCTATAATTTCACTACAAGAAAAATAGCCTTTTACGACTCGCAAACCACGACACTCATTGATTTATGTTACGCAATGGAGAGTGACGGTAAAAAAGTGTCATCTCTTCAAAAAATTTAAGGATTTAGGTCACGCATTATTGCGTGCCCTTAAATTAGCGTCATACGAGAAAAAAATTAAAAACACGGAGGGCGCTGTATCTTAAATGGGGGTCCTCTATGAGTGTCGCTTTATAATTTTAATGAAAAGCGTGTTTAGTAGATAGGGGGAAAATGAAATCCCTAAAATTTTGAACACCCGCCTTATTTTTTGTCCTCCACTTTTGTTTCCTTCTTGCCCTAATTACGATCCTTTCTTCCCCTTCCATGGATTCGACTGCCGCCTTGCCTAGTTATCGACACTCCTTCCTTCGTTCCTCACTTGCCTTCTTTGCCTGACAATATCTCAAGAAGTACAACTCCGAAAGCGTACAAGTCGGACTTATGTGTCGGAACTCCGGTAGACTGAAATTCAGGAAACATTTAGCCTCGTGTGCCCTAGAATTTCACGAATCTTGAATTTGGCTTACTGGAATCTCGTTCCAAGCTGCTATCGGTTTCGCCACAGAGTTCCACCGTTCCAAAATTGCATATTTTCGCATTGAGTGACTATGATTGGGTTACAATTATGCTTGATCCGACGATTGGGTTACAATTATGCTTGAAAGTGTGAAGAATTTACATGCTCCATCTACTTCTATCCTAGAGCCGACGATTTAGGGCCTTACAGCTTCTCATCCCACACAGCGCCGACGATTTAGGGCCTTACAAGCCCTAGCTCGGATTGAACTAAGGTATGCTTTACTGAGCATGATTTGTCATGATTTTTTGTTCTGCTTACAAGCCCTAGGTCCGATTTCAAGAAATATCCCATTCTATTCAATGAAGCAGGTCTGATTCTTCTCTTCTGGTTGCACTAAGGTATGTCGTGCTTACTGTTATTCATCTAGTCTCTTCTTCTTCTTCTTCTTCTTCTTCTTCTTCTTCTTCTTCGTCTTCTTCTTCTTCTTCTTCTTCTTCTTCTTCTTCTTCTTCTTCTTCTTCTTCCCTGATATCTTAATTTTTCGTGTAACACCTACGATTTCTTCACTTTTGGAACGCGTACAATTTCTTCACTTATTCTTCTTCTTCTTCTTCCCTGACTCGAATTACTTTATCACACCATTTGTGTTGATGGGTGCAGCGCTAGCTTTTTTCCTAATCTATTTCCAAGTGAACTGGTCACTAGCTTGTGTGGTGGTTGTGGCGGAATCAAAATGGGGGTTTCAGCCATACTCAAGCAAAGCATATAGACATCATTACCACTTGGCCAATTGCCATGGCCCTCCACTCGCTGGTTCTAAACCCTGAAGACACGACCACAACCACCACCATTACTAAACCAATAGAAGAACTTTCAACAATGGTGAAACCTGATCAAGCCTTATACCTGATAACATTAAAGGTCTTTTTACATCCCCACCCGCTAATTTCTTTGAGTTAATTATATAAATGTTTTTCATGGTGATTTTGTCATTCTTTTCAGTTTGAAGAGGTTGTTTATAAAGTCAAAATTGAATGTTCAAAAGTCGGATCTACCACATGTTGGATAAAGTGATCTTGCTCTCTAAAGGCTCATAGATTTACTATGGTTCTGCTTCCACATCTTTGGACTATTTTTCTTCAATTGGATTTTCCATGTCTGTTACAGTCAAACAGACTGACCTTTTTCTTGATCTTGCTAATGGTAAATTAATAATTTGAAATGATATTATTTGTATGTGATTTTTTATCGTTATTAACCACAAAAAAGTTTTTAAATCTCACAGGAAGGAATTGCACCTGATTCAATGCATGATTATGATATATGTGATTTGGACGTTGGCAATTACAATCCTGGAAAAGAAACTTTACCAAGTAAGTATTTGTAATAATAATAATAATAATAATAATAATAATAATAATAATAATAATAATAATAATAATAATAATAATAATAATAATAATAATAAATTGATGCATATGTTTTTTTGGAATGTAAGGGTAAAATGGTAGAAAAGAAAAGAAAATAACATTATGTATTCAACACTTTGTGTGTATAAACTAACTCTCTTTGAAAGTAGGAAACTGTGTGGAATCAGAGCAATGGTGTACAAGTAAGTATTTGTAAAAATAATAATAATAATAATAATAATAATAATAAATCCCAGCTTGATGAATGATGATCGAGGTTAGTGGATTCTACTCCACAAATTAGGTTCTTGCTTTTATCAACTTACCTCTTTATAACTGTTGTTAACCTTGCGATCCATTGACCATCTAATTTGAAAAAATCTATTTTTCTAATGGGACTTATTTTTTTTTAATGGTGGCAGGAAGCCAGGAGAAATCAAGGTGGCAAAGCAAGCCATGCTTCATGGAGAAATTAAGATGATCTTAATGAATATTTTTGGTAAGTACTCTCTTAATTTTATAAAACTTGCATTCATGCTGAAACAATTATGTTTTTCCCATGGATAGCAGTCAAGAGATGTCAAGATCACGTTTTAGTGTGGAGCTTGATGCTGCAAATGCAGTAGGGATGTTTAAATGGCAAGGTGTATGCATATTCTTCGTTTTAAGCCATATATACAACATGAAATATAATAATATTTCCTTTTTTTGTTTTTAGAACTATGCAGAAAATAATCTCGTTTACTGTTGACACGTTGAAGCAGCAGTTGCGTTTTGAGCCCACTGCTTACGGTTGTTGCGACAGGTGGCACACTCTTATTCGTTGATCCATTATTTTTCACAATCTCATGTCTCCTTGAACCCTTTTTTGCCTCCTCAACATTATTTGTTACATCCTTGTTTCCTTTTCTTGGCCCATTAAACGAAAACAAAATCAACCGCTTGGATTTTTTTTTCATTTTTTTTATAAAAATGTACGTTTTTCTTACCCGCCATTCCTGACATTGGACAGCTTGCATGTCCATGACATTCCTGACATTGGACCACTTTATTCCTAAGCCGGTCATGTATGAGTTGGTAACCACACGTTTCCAGTGTTGATAGTCCACAGCGAAGTCCAAAGTTGATCCTCAAATTTCATGTCCTTCCTCCTTTTATTTTAAAGACCAGAATACCCTCTTTTATGTATCTTGAAATAAATAATAATGAAATTTTCTTTACACATAAGTAAAAATTTTAAAATTATTAATTTTTTGTTGTATTTATTTTCATCTCCTGCCAACCAAACACTTGACAATATTAAATACATTAATTAAATGTATTCTAACATCTCTGGCTTTTTGTTGTAGTATAGCAGGTTCTACTTGGAGTGCCTCACAATTCCTATATTTTTTGTTGGATTTAATCTTCCCAAGGTGAATCTAAGTTCTCGTATATTGCAACAAGCATACTTGCAGTTTATATCATCTAAATCTAAACTGCATGCAAGGAATATGTATAGTGTTTTTTTGTTGCTTCTATTGACTAGTTTACCCTTGAGTATCCTTTAATAAGATAATGTGAGTTAGTAGTTGTTAATGATTCAGATCTTTGTAATATGCTTTTGCAGGGTAGTTTGTTATATTGGGCAACCAACAGCTCCCATCATACAACAGAGGGTATAATATCATGAGACATGTATGTGTTTCTTGGTCATGAAACAACAGCTGCAAAACAGCAGCTCCCATCATACAACAGAGGGTATAATATCTGCAGGGGCGTAGGATGATCGTCTTGAACGAACTTGCTGATGTGGCGTAGGCTGACAGAAAACATCAAGTCAAACAGAAGTGAGTCATAACATAATGCAAAATTATATATATATATATATATATATATATATATATATATATATATATATATATATATATATACCTGCAATTTTGGGCGTAGTGCCTCTAAAGGTCCTTTGCTCTTTTGTGACCCCCGTTGTAAAAAAGACAAGAATAAAATGAAGCATCAAAACTTTATTAAAATAGATCAAGAGTTTTTAAAAAAATCATTTTAAGTACCTTTCCTAGTGCCCAATTTGTAGAATCAAAGAAAGCACGATCATGATCCTGTATGATTGGGGAACAAATTAGTTGTTAGTATTCTTCTTCCATAATTAGAGAAAAAAAAAAGAATGGAAATTGAATTACCTTTGAGATTAAAGGGGTTTTTCTTGGTAGTAATCCACCATATTTTTTCTTGATTATAGCTTCCTGCAAACAATGAACTTTGTGAAATTTCAATTTTAAAGATTATATAGTAAAGACTATTCAACCACAATTTTAAAGATCAAATAAGCACATGATTTAAGACTTTTAACTAAATCCCTTGTAATGGTGATAAAGGGCAAATAAGTAAATTAGGATAATATCTACAAAAGAAAGGAAGTACCTCTTGGGCTGGTGTGGACATGGGATTGTCCTCTGCTTTTTCTAAATCCTTTGGGATTTCTTGTGAAGATGAGTCATTGTTTACTTCAAATTTTTGATCATTATCCACAAGATTAAGGTCTTTGGAACCCACATTTGTCTCGAACATTTTGCACGTATTTACAGAAAAACCTACTAATAACACAAGAGTGGGATAATTTTCATAATGATACAGTTTTTCAAACTTTTCATGGAAAAACATTTAGTCCCATATATCGATGATAGGCTTAATTGTCATCTTATAAAACTAAGTTTACAGCTTTCTATCTCACTTAATAACCTTCTTTATTTTATCATACTCTAAAATGAACGAAAGCATTCATGTTATCTTTTCTCATAAATGAACTAGGCATACAAGTGATGGATTGGAAAAAAATTTGTTACCTGCTGTAGATGGTCTTGCACTTCGTTTTTAACATATCTTATTTCTTATCACTTGACATAAAAAATTGAAGTGTGTGTGTGTGTGTATATATATATATATATATATATATATATATATATATATATATATATATATATTAGTAATTGTGGAATGAGGTAGCTATTTTATGTGAAACAAATGTGGATGGGTTGGTTGCAGGCCTGCCTTACTACTTGTTGGCTTTTGTAACCAGCAAGCATTCATGGATTAGGGTTTCGTGAATAGAAACTAGGAAAAATGGGCATGTAAAAATGTTGGTTTTGATGATATGCAATCACATTCCACTTCTAATTTCTTGCTTTTGACAATGATTATATGTATATATATATATATATATATATATATATATATATATATATATATACATATATATATTATAGTTTACAAACTGTAGAGTGTGTTCTGTAGTGAATCTCATAGGGACAAAATGGTAAATCTGCAGCTGGTTCAGTCAATGTCATTTAGTAATATTTGGAAATACAGCCTCTGTAAGTTTGGCCAAAACCTTCTGATTTTGTTTACTTTTTAACTTTGTTTTTGGTTTCATTTAGTAATAAAGTATCAAATATCAACAGTTATGTGGTAGTAATCCTTCTGAGGGGGTGTTTGTTGGGCTGCTTCTTTCAATGTCATTAACAACAATGGTAAGTAGAATCTTACAATTATGAAAATCTTTTGTTTAAATCTACCTTATTGACCTGTAGCTGATTTAAACATTAATTTAATTATGCAGGTTTTGAAGTTTTTGATGGAAAAGAACAGTGTTAATGCTCTTCATAGAAAAGTATGTTGGTAGTTTAGGAAATTTGGCTAATAATTTAGTTAATTATATAAAAAAATGTTGAAATGTTACATTTGTCTATTATTGGAATGATTATTTGTATGACATTAAATTTTGTGCAATGTATTGTATTTTTTGTATTGTGAGACATGAAATGCAAATTTAATTTGAAAATCAGTAAATCTATAAATAATTTTTAAAAAAAAAAATTAAAATTACGATACGCAAAAATGTGTGTCGTCTTCATTTATGACATGGCCTTTCTTGACAGGGCCTTTCTTGATACGCATTGCGTGTCATTAATACGGGTGTCGTAAGGTTACGACACGTGATTGCGTGTCGTCTTCCTTTATGACAGGGCCTTCCTTGATACGCATTGCGTATCGTAAACACGCGTCGTAATTGCGCGTCGTCTCTCTTTATGACATGGCCTTCCTTGACGCGCATTTGCGCGTCGTCTGAGCCTTTTACGACGCGCAATGAGCGTCGTAAAAGGCTGTTTTTCTAGTAGTGTTTGGAGTCTTGGATTCCACTAGAAAGTACTGAACACAAAAAGGGCTGAAGGGACTTGACGAGTTGCTTAGCCAACTCGACGAGTCGGGTAGGGTTTATCCGTTAGCAACTCGTCGAGTCGGGTAGGGTTTACCCTTTTTTGGGATCCAGAGTGGTTTCAGTGAGCTGCTTAAGAGATTTCAGTTTAAAGTTTTCGGCCCTTGGACATTAAGGAATTCGACGACTTACTCAGGTGACTCGGCGAGTTAACTCAGGATTTTGGTTGTATAGACTATGAAGGAACTCGATGAGTTGCTGGATGCACTCGACAAGTTGGGGTCAACATGGATTGTTGACCTTTACTTTGACCAGGGTTGACTAGGATTGACTTTGAGGGTATTTACGGTATTTCGGGATTGTGACAAGTTAATCACATGATGATTATAGGCTGTTGAGTTGGAGCTATGCATTGGGAATTATCTGATCTTATCTTGTCAGTTCATCTTTCACGAGAGGTGAGTCTCCTCACCATACCAACATGTCAAAGGCACCAAGGCCGAACTATTTATTTAGTTGTGGTGATTATTAAAAACGTGCTATCGATACCTTGTGTATTTATATGAAGACCATGTGGGGGTTCCCATGGCTGTTAGTTAAGACCATGTGGGGGTTGCCATTGAAATTAGTTATATACAGTATGTCGGTTGTCTTCGTGACTCCTACATGTAATGTTTACTTGCGAATGTGTTGTCAATATGTAATGTATTTATATGAAGACCATGTTGGGGTTCCCATGGCAGTTAGTTAAGACCATGTGGGGGTTCCCATGGCACATTATGTGATTATACTAGTTGTTTATTTGATATGTGTTATACTAGTTTTTTATGTGATATATGATATGTTAGTAGTCTATGTGATACTTGCATGGAAGACCACAGTGGGTTCCCGAGGCAGTTGGATATCATACCATGTGGGTGTTCCCATGGTATTCCAGGCTAAGACCATGTGGGGCTTCCCATGACTGTGGGCTAAGACCATAACGGGGGTTCGTATGACACCCAATGTAAGACCTTGGAGGGTTTCCAACGTATCCTTATATTTTTATAAGAATATGTGGGGATTCCCATGGTAGTGGGATAAGACCATGAGGCGGTTCCTATGGCACATGGAGTGAGACTTTAGAGGGTTTCCATGGATTCCTTATATGTTTGTATGCATGACTTATGTGGTTTATGTAGCTTTCATAGCTAATATGATTACGTGATTATGTGGATTGTGTGGGGTTTGCTCTGGGGAACTCACTAAGCTTCGTGCTTAAAGTTTTGTTTATGGTTTCTGGTATCATTGTCTTGGAAAGGAAGGGCTCAGCTTGATTGCAGCGCACACACCCATGCTTTTTTTTTTTTGCATTATGTGATTTTGGGATGAACTCTGATGAATGTTTTTAATTAACAATGTTTTGGAATACTTAGATTTAAAGATATCTGTGTTTTGACTATAATAAAAAGTGAAATTTTTACCCTTGATTTTTGGGTCGTTACAAGTTGGTATCACAACCTTGGTTTAAGGGATTGAGACATACTCTTGGGTGTGTCTGAACTCAAATTGAGGATCTGTAAAGTTTTCAAAAGAAAAATGTTTTCAAGAAAATAATTTTTTTGAGATAAGAGAAGGTGTGGTGCATGCAATCAGCCTAGATCAAGTAAGTGCCCCTAAAAAAATCCACATATGTACCTATTATGACTTAACATATTAATCTGTGAATCACATGCTAGTTAGGGCTAGGGGAGATGCCTTTATATGTTGTAGGAGCTGGTAGACTTGTATCCTAGTGCTTAGTAGCCAATGATAGATTGGCATTATATGTAGTGCTTGTAGCCTTGGGAACACTGGATGTAATGCTAGAGTGAGAATGATTATTGGTATTAGTAACTGCTAAGTGTATGCTTTAAAAATTGTATATAGTTAGGATCTTAAAGCCTTAAAATAATGTATTTGGCCTTATATCCCATTTTGTGTATAATTTGCATGCATAAGGAAGCCAACAGTAAGGATGGATGGATGTGGACAACATGAGTTGTGGTATGCGGGATGATTGTTCTATGATGGTTCATGGGTCAGAGATTACCCTAGGGTAAGCCTAGGATGAGATTGGTGATAGATTTTACCTGATTGTGAATTGTATGGGTGGATAGAATTACTTGATTGGAATATGTTGGTTAGTTTTCCATTGTCCGAATGATGCTTGCTTTGTGCTTTGTGGGACTTCAAGCAATGTGAGCTAGCTACTAAGTGAATATTCTAGGTCATATATGGCACATGCTGGATAATATCAGAGTGATGGATTTGGGCCTATTGCACAGCTCTCGGTTGAGTCTAACCATTCTAGGATTGAGTGTATTGCTCGAAGGATTATCCGATCTCTGTTGTATGTGGCTATATTCATAAAAGGTAGCTAGTTGATATTACTAGGAATCTTTCACCAGCTAAGGACTGGGTGGGTTTGGGAACTTAGGAAAGCCTAGGATATGTTTCAGTGGGTTAGTAGTGAGGTTTAGCGAGACTTGGGTGAATCAGTTTGAGGAAGTGACTTGGAGGATTCGGGAGGATTACTGAGGAAAGTATGGATAGGTGTGGAAGGTAGTAATGGGCCCATACTACTGAAAGCACAAGATCCATACTCGAATTGGGGAGACTCTTGGAGAATTTGAGAAGTTTCGGGGAGGAGAATCCATGTGTATGTTTTGATCAGTGGTTTTGTGGTTTTCCAGTTTGTGATGAGCACTCAGGGAGGTGGTTCTGGTTCAAGTTCTGAATCAGGTGCAGGTGCTAAGTCGATTAGCATAAAGATGCAGAAGTTCATCTCGTTGGAGATTACCTGTAGTATTTTGGAGCAGACCCCTATAATCTTTGGTTCAATCAAGGAGGGGATTTTGGAGGTGTTGGATAGTCCTATCAGGGCCTTTCAAACCGAGATTATGACAAGACAGTTGGGGGCTCATCTGGAGCCCGAAGCTTATGGATTCTGGGAATCCTTCTGGAAGGAGGATCCTATTGATTGCTCGAGTCATTTGGGATTAGAGGTGGGTTATGCACCTTGTCTTCAGGAGAGTCTACCACATTATTAGATCACCGTGGAGGTTCCATGAGTCCTACACGAGGAGTTACCCGACATCATTGGGCGTATCACTGATTGGTTGATCGCTAAATTCCAAAGTCAGACCTTGACTTTTCAGATGATTGATGAGGTAATAAGGTTAACTCAGGAGAAGGATATTGATTTGGATGGACAGGTGGGGAAGAGGAAGCGGGAACATGGTCCAGGTTGACAAACCGAGCAGTTTGGTGCAGCTGCAGCGAGTGTTAGAAACCTGAGGAGTCACGGTGGTTGTACAAAAGACGAAGGGGTACA